CTCGAACCAAACTGAAATGACTAATCACTCATAATGAATAGCACTCAAAACGAATTTAATCCAAAGCACTTGTTTCCGATCTAAAGTACATCTAGGAGTATGAATGCTATCAAAATGTACAAAACTACAAATACAAGAAAGGGAAACTAAAGGGATGGAAAACCACACAATTTTTTCTTTTCTTTTTTCTTTTTTTTTTTTTTTTTTTTTTTACATCCAAGAGTTTATGCCATAAGATAACATATATTTGTGGTTAATCAATTCTTGTACCTATGATGAACATTAATTATATTAAGTCCAAGATGACATATTATAAGGCTGAAATATGATGAAGTGTCCCCCACAAAAGTAATATAGTGAATAAATAAAATTGAATTTCAATACTAATACTTCCTAAATAAAAAAGGGCATTGCAATGCAAATGCAATGTTTAGGGCGGTGTCACAATTTGTCAAGGGTTGGCTCTACTCTTAATATGGGATGTGATGGAGTCATGTGTCCAGAAAACCTGCCATAAATGTTTCAGAATTTATTGAGCCTTCTTTTTACCTTTCTTTTTCTTTTCTCTACCCCTTCTTGGAAGGTTAGGCTCTTGTTCACTTCACTTCTCTAACAAATTTCAAGCCACAAATTTCCCGGATTTTATAAACATTAATAAATTTTCATCCCCGGTTAATTTTCTTCACCTTATTCTTATAACTTGTTATCAAACCTACAGAGTAATTATATATTTTAGACAAGATCACTAATGTTACAAACTAAACTACTCGGACTATACCTACAAATCATATAAAAAAATTCAGACTAATTTTAAAAAGACCATAATACCTTAAATAAGGTGAAGAAAGATAACCTAAGAGGTCAAAATTATTATCTCTCTTCAGAAAAAAAAAAACAAATTGATGTTAAGATATTGTGGCATATATTATCAATTATTGTATTTAACCATTTAATCAGGTGTGGGGTAAGGTGTATTAGTTGACTTGTTAATTACTTTGCAATCTTGAGGTATGTATTCACCTTTCCCTTTATTCGATGGAAGAACACAGTTTCAGCCAATAGAGAAGTTTATGATAACCATCTTATCTTAGCAAAGTATAGCATATTAGGATAGTAATTTGTGCGTAATTTCAATGGAATAATTGTATACACACCAATAATTTAATGATTTAACTTTGAATTATTCCTTTCAAAGAAGAAAATTGTTTATATAATGATGATAGTAGAATCTAGCTAGTGTTTCAATTAATTTTGAGAAGTAATATGTCAATTATCAGTAGGTTTTGTCTCCTATACAATAAGTGTGTTACTAAGATTAGGAATTGCACCGAAAAAATGATTAATAAGAGTTAGCAACATTAAAAGTTCAAGGAGGTTTCGTCTCAAAAACATGTAGGTAGGAGAAGTAGTCCCTTAACCTTATAAAGTGTTTTAACTTTTCAACTTTTATTAGTGTAGGACATTTACATATATTGTACGAGAAGGATATGCTTCATCAACAAAGTTTAATTTTTGCTATGTTAATTAATCTCTTAGAGTTTAATAATACATTTTCGATATTTAAAGTAATATGAGTTGTCGTGCATGTTTTGTTTATATTTATTGTGTCGAAATTATAATAAGAGAAAAAGATTAAATTTTAAAACTAAACAAAAAAAATTAAATAAAATAAAGAAGCAAAAGTAATGAACGTTTATTTACTTGATAAAATGAGATACATCCATTCCCTTAAATAAGCTAACGACAAAAACTACCAAAGTTAAATACTATTTTATTTCTTATTATGTGCAGCAAAGAGGTATTATTTGTAAAACATAAAACATTTATTTATAAGTTGCAATAATAAGAAATGGAGGTAGTATGAAGCCACTACTAACCCACTATGGCTGCTAACTAGCCCACTAACAATTCAACTATTTATCCTATCTCCACTAAGTCTTTAATGGAAAGACTAAAAACAGTATTCCTAAAATTACTCTTAACTTAGTTTGAATCAATCAATCAACACACCCTCATGGCCTCATGACTCAAACTCACCACAATTGCTAAACCTTCTTTGTCTTTAATGATCTATACTGCCATGGACTTTGACTTGAACTCGACACACCCTTTTCAATCAATCTCAACACATTAACCTAGTCAAACATTTAAAAAAAAAAAAAAAAAAACTCCAAAGCTAAATATTAGGAAACCAATACTAATCCACTAACTAGCCCACTAACAATTCAAATACTTCTCTTATGACCAATTGACCACTAAGTTTTTAACGGAAAGACCAAATATAGTATTTCTAAAATTACTTTAACTTAGTTTGAATCAATTAACCAACATATGTGTAGCGTGCATTTAGTTTCAATTTCTACATATTCGATGTAAAGTACTAAACTCGTTTAGACTCCACTAAAGAAATTTGTTCAAACGTTGATTCCATCTTATTTAATCTTTTTAATTAACAAATACTTGTATTTATTGATTTATAGCAAGATCATATTACCTAGTATAATCAATGTATCGCACCTTCTAGCCTAACAGAGCAGAATTCTCATAATAATGTCCACTTAATAGATATCAACTACGAAGTAGCTTATTTGGTTAAACATTGAAAATGTTTTCCTAGAGTTCAATTTCCATTTACATCATATATCTATAATGAAGCAATACGTGGTTCCTACACCCAGGTGTATCATGCACATGGTACACCTGAATTTTGAATTTCAAATTTTAAATGAGGCTCTTTATATGACTATATAATGTTTTTTATAAAAAAAAATAATTTTTATCCTCTAAAATTATTTGACCTAAAAATAACTTAAGATTTCGTTTTTAAATTTCAAAATTTAAATTTATAAATTTCGTTTTCAAAATTTTAGTTTTCAATTTTTTTATTTATTTTTATTTTTTATTTCATTCATATTTTTCACCTTTAATATATATAGTTACAATATTCATTTTAGAGTTGGTAAATATAATTTTTTTTTGTGATGTTCTATATGTGATTTAATAATGTTCTCTATTAGAAAACATGATGTACTTTATAGTAGTTTGTAATGTACAATTATTTTTTAAAACTATATCTTTTTCCTTATGTCCATAATTATATCATATAATGATTTTTATTAATCAGATTTTTTGATAGTTTATTTTAATTGTCCATGTTTTTTTTATTGTAATTGCAATGTACTTTTATCGTCACATAATGTTCATTGCTTATTGTGAAATGTTCTTTGAATTTTGTCTTTGGATCGTGGTAGGTATATATATAAGTTATGTTCATTTTATAATATTATCATGTTCTTTAATAATATTACGGATGTTCTTTAGATCTGAAAAACAATCATCAATAGAGGAGATCTCAAAAGAATATCGTCATCAACCTTCACGATCCTGATTTAAAAAAAAATATACGTAGTTAGTGATAATTAATATATATATATATATATATATATATATATAGAATTAATAAATGATATATTATTTTAAAAAAATTATAATAATTCGAAGAACATACAGAATAAATCAAAGAACATAAAGGATAAAAATAAAGAACATTCATATAATTGTTCAATAACTATAATAATGAACATAAGTACAATTTATAGAGAACACCATCTTCATCATTTGACAAAATATAAAGAACATCATCTTCAACCTTTGACAAAATAAAAGAACCTATCTTCAACCTTTGTCATATGGATCTCAAATTCATAAATATCAAAATTGAAAAAAAGAACAATGATATTTTACAATAATCGTGCAAAATAATAACGAATTAAAATCAACCTAATAAGCGAAATCCTGAAATTAAAATCATAACAAATAAAATCAAATTACCTTAGCTTCTCCGATCCATCGATTACAATGTTCTCATAATTTGCTCTGTATTTTTCTCTCTAAAAAATTATAAACTTTATTCTCTCTTAATTCGAAATTGAAATATGGTGAAATTTAATTTTGAAAGTTATGTAAAAATGGAGAATATCACGTTGAATCCCATGAATTGTGGAAGAGAATTTTTTTATTTTTTTTTAAAATAAAAAATTGACAGCTTGCAAATAAAATGTTAAAAACGCATCATTTAACACGAGATATACCATGAGCATGGTACACCCTAGTGTACTATACAATTTTCAATAACGAAGTAATATAATTTCCTTCTTATTGAAAGAGTAATGCAATGCCTTTAACACTTAGCTTATAAGCGGATAGCCGGATCTAAGCTTAGATTTTCTTCTATACAAAGTAGACTACGATAAGTTAGTGAAGAACGGAATGAGCAATTGTATTACGCAAAACATATAGACCCTATTTTTTGTTCAAACAACTAAACAAATATTTTCTCTTTCTTAGCTTCTTTCCTAGGAATGCCTCCTTTCTTCTTGTTAGTAATATGAGAAGATTATGCAAGTTAAGCGACAAATAAAGAGCTTAACCACCACATTATTTAATTAAGTAATGTGATGACCAGCAGCAAATAGTTTGATTATTATATACAAGTATTATGAGTATGAAGTGTAAATTTCTGGAAGGAATGAGTGGAAGGACCAACACTTGTACTATAGGATTGACAGGAAAAAGATACACCACACTTTGAATTTCGAATTAATTACATTTATAATCCAAACCACAATAAATTTATTAATAAAAATCTAATTTTAGCAGTAAGACTTTTTCGTCGATTTTCATTATATAATTCGTTCTAAATTTACCACCGTAAATCCAAAATGATTTTATCTTTGTAAAATATCCAAACTGATGTGTAAGACCGTATCTCACTAACTCAATAAGAGTAATTCGTCATGATACACTCAAATATATTGTAGGCATAATATTTAACTTTACCCAAAAAAAAAAAAAAAAAAAAAACCTATATTCTAAACCTTAAATATCTTACTTAGCTTGTATAACATTATTAATCAAAACCTTGATTTCATAATCTAATTATGAATAATTTGCAAATAAAAATTTGGTAACTAAGAAGACTTTTTTGACGGTTTCCATTATTCTACACATCTAGTATACGGTAAATCCAAGATTGTTTTCTATACAAAAAAAAAGAAAACTACTTCAGATGTGTAAAAAGAAAAAAATAATTATATATCACGTGCATGGTACATCCGGATGTAAAATAGTAGACGGAAGTGAAATAACATTAAAACTGATATATGTTTACTAAAAAAGGAGAATAAAAAAAAGGGAGGTGTTTAACCCTTGAAAGTGTATATGTGGGAAGGAGGAGGGGGGTTCAACCACCACCTACCAGAGTCTCTTGCCCAACGAACAAATTTAAATGAAACAATGAATTTTATTCATTTATCTTCTTTCCTTCCCCCACCCCATCTTACTACGTGTCCCTTACGACCCCTTTTCTTCTCTTTTTTTCTCCTCTTCTTCTTCTTCTTTCTCTCCTTCTCACACGCTCTCATTTAACCCCAATACTTTGTGGCTGTCTTATTATTATTATTTTTTTCTTTCAAAAATTATTTATATATATATTTATATTTTCCCACTGTCAAATGTATATTTTGTACCGTCTTTTTTGAGGGGCCAATTAATCTGGGTTGGCTTATTATTATCTTGCTCTAAATTCTACATTATTTCAACATCATTACTCTATTAAAGCCTACATTATATATATACACATTATTATACTTATTCCAGCTAAATTAGCTCAACCACATCATATATCCTTGCACATTTTTGTGTGTGAGTTTGTGTATGTGTATGTGTATGTGTATGTGTGTTTTATTTTTTCCATCATCAAAGGTTGAGCCTAGCGAGCAAGCCGCCCCTGTGTCGTGTTGTGTCGTGTCGTGATTGTTTTAACAATGAGTGTAAAGAATAATATGGGCAAAGCTAAATCAGCTATACTAGTTACAGGAAGAGCCCTTAATGAAGGAATAAGTTTCTTAGTGTTTATATTGCTAGACCTTCTAGATTTCATCTTATGTTTGGTGTACAAGATTGCAGATTTCGTTGTCGAGGCGGAGTGGAAGCCGTGCTACTGCTGCTCCTCCTCCGCCAAACAAGCGATGGCCGTTACGAGTACGGGCAAGACGATCTTGGTGTCCGAAAAAGGCGAGTCCACCAAGATCGTCCGCCTTACATCCACCAAACTTCAACTCGAAGACGTTTCCGACACTCTTTACACTCGTCCTTCTCTAGTGTCAGAGATCTCCAAGACTACCGTCAACGAACTCAGACGCCTTAACAAGGTTGACACTACGAATATCATCACCAAACACCACCACCACCACCAACACCACACTTCCTCGCTCATCTGCGAGAAGATGACCACGAAAACTACCGCGAATAATACTAAAAAAAATGGATCCACCACATTTACTGTCAACTCAACCATTGTTGAAATGCTTCAAGGTAAAATCGGAGGTATGCAATCTTTTCCGATTCCACGGTGGTCGGATTGCGATTGCTCGACTTGTTGCTCTTGGACTACCTCCTCTAAGGATGCTCTCTTTGTACATTCTGATGGTGCTAAACCTGGTACTTCACTCTCATTTTATTATAGTATTATATTATATGCTACATTATCTAATTAAACTATGTAATTAATTATGTGATTAAACATTTTTAACATATGGTAATAATAACAAACAAGTATTATATTGTAGGAGATAAGACTTCAACAGAGGATGTGTTATTTATTCACGGGTTTATATCGTCATCCAAATTTTGGACGGAAACTGTTTTCCCAAATTTTACGGCAGCAACAAAATCTAAGTACCGGTTATTTGCGGTGGATTTGCTAGGGTTTGGTAGGAGTCCAAAGCCTACTGATTCATTGTACACTTTAAGAGAACATGTGGAAATGATTGAACGTTCTGTATTGGAAACTAACAGAGTTAAATCCTTCCACATTGTTGCCCATTCTCTTGGCTGCATTTTGGCTCTCGCCCTCGCCGTTCGCCACCCCTCCAAGATCAAATCGCTCACCTTGATCGCTCCTGTAAGTTGTTCTCAGTACTCCCTCTGTTTCATAATGATTTTACATTTTCTATCAGCTTTGACTCAATGTAAATTTTATATGGATTATTTTGTAAACATTTTTATTATATTTTAAACATTTTTATTATGTGAGATATTATTAATTTTTGGGTAATGCTATATGCAGCCCTTATATTTTCTTTTTTTAGTATTAAATTGGGAATTTATCAACAATTTACGAATAAATCGGTGTAATAATTGTATATTTATTGTCAATTATTTTCACTTTTAGCTTCTTATATGCAGCCCTTAGGGCAGCATATATCTTTTTTCTTAATTTTTTTTATAATTAGTGAATTTCAAAGAAATAAGATGATTAAAATAGGGTCTTAATTAATAGGTGTATTATATACGTAGTATTAAGGACTGTAGAGTGTGTTTATTAAAATACCAATAATGACAGTTGGGTGATCCCAATGATCTCCCCGTTACTTTTAATTTGACAGGTATGACTTTACAAAACATTATTATAATATTTGGATTTTATTTGTATAATAATACTCCTAGTAGTACTTTTTAATTAAAAAATTTGGTTACTTGAGGATACCTACATTCATTGGTAGGTTAGATCTTAAGATTATCGTGTCTGAATTAGTCTCGAAAATTCAAATTATACTATTAATATGACAATTAATTGCGAAAACAATAAAACAAAAATACGAGTATTATTACTAATATAGAAGTCGAAATTTTTGGTTACAGCCGTATTTCCCAGTGCCAAAAGGGGAGCAAGCGACACAATACGTGCTAAGACGAGTAGCACCACGACGCGTATGGCCACCGATAGCAATGGGGGCATCCATAGCATGTTGGTATGAGCATATTTCTCGGACAGTTTGCTTGCTCATCTGCAAAAACCACCGAGTGTGGGAATTTCTCACCAAACTTGTCACCAGAAATAGGTAACCCAAAACACAACTTCACGCATATATTTTAATTATTTCCAATATTGACTGCCTTTTTTATTTTTCTTAGTCTTTACAACGGAACGTGTGTGTTTAAAATAGCCTAAAATTTGGAAACAATATAACATTCCCATAAAGCCCTTCACCCTCTTTTCACCACTTAAAGGGTGATTGTGATTGGGTAGTAAAGTTGTCCCAACAAAGTAATTACTTTGGTACCTCGAGATCACAGGATAGGCCATCCTTTTTTTTAATTTTTTTTTAAAATTTTTTTCAATTTTTTTCTTTTTAATTATTTTCAAAAAAAAAAAAATCAATAATTTTGGGGTAGTACATCACCTGGGTGCATTTAACATTTTTGCATTGCATTTAGGTGTATTTAATAGGACTATTTTGTTTTAAATCAAAAGTCAAAGCTACTTCATTTCATTACGCGTATCACATGGCTTGTGAATCTTATATCTTCAGAAATAAAAAGTACCTCTATTTTTAAATAACAGGCTGCATTTAATTTGGTTATCATAAATTTGTTTAACAAAAACCTGTAATTTGTCTTATATAATACTAGTATACTGCACTAAATTTGACAATTCTAAATTCATCTTACAAAATGTTCTCATACAAGGTGTCCACATTTTTTCCAAAAAATAAATAATAATAAAAAAGGCCTGCTACACTTGTATAATAATATAAATTGCTATATAATATCCTTGTTTATACAGAGTATAAAACTATAAATGACGCATTAAAAATATTAATAGTAGTTTGAGCATAAAAACGTCTATACCCTAAAAATTTTGTGCCACAATTAACTGGGAAAGTAATCTCAAAGCACATGTGATTACTAGCCCAGTTGCCCCAGAGACGTTCCTACTCAATAGTTGATTGTCAATCTTATTTTCTTTCTCTTTCATGATATATGCTTTATGATAGCTTGATAATTGACTACTCCAATTTCTGGTTCAACAATCACCCACCCTTTACTAATAAGTATTCTAAAGTTTAGCTCATTTTGGCATATTTCACAACATTTTTATACAATTGATAAGGAAATTCTTTATAAGCCTTTGTTTTTGGTTTCATACACACAACATTGTCTAAAATAGAATGGACAAATTAAATTATAATGATGGATGTAGATATATAATAAATTAAACGAGAGGGAAAAGTATGTATGAATAACAATTGTTCGAATTTTATTTGTAGATTTGATTGGAAAAAAAAAATATTATGTGATTATGATTTCTAACAAACATTACGGTCAATTTAAGAGCCTCTATAATTGAAAATGATGCCTAATTTAACTAAAAGTACACAAAGAAATAAAAAAACATCGGGGGCACACTAATAGTGGTCCGTTGTTTTTGTTCTGCTTTTAGTTTAATTAAACAAAGATAAAGACTTACTATATGATGTTGCTCTAGCTTGTCTAATCCTAATTAATGCGTGTACATAATTACATATTGGTGTGGGAAACATAAACTGTAAAATCAATAAACTCTAAAATCAATTTAAAGTCTTATATGTGACGATCTCATTCTTAACAGCAAAATCTTTTTTTTATAAGTAAGTATCCGGATGAGTTGTTTTTTCTTTTATTGTTGGAAAAGCTATATATTGTGACAAAGACTCACCGAATATCTATTGATTTACTAATAAAGTTAAGTATATATGTATGAATGCAGGGTACGAACGTATCTAATGGAAGGTTTTTTCCTCCACACTCATAATGCTGCTTGGCACACCTTGCACAATATAATCTGTGGATCAGCCAGCAAGCTTGATAAATACCTTGACGTGGTTAGGGACCGGCTTAAATGTAACGTGAACGTATTTCACGGTAGAGACGACGAGCTTCTTCCAGTCGAGTGCAGCTACAATGTCCAAACTAAAATTCCTAGAGCTCAAGTTAAGGTGTTCGATAATAAGGATCACATCACCATTGTTGTAGGACGTCAAAAGGCTTTTGCACGGGAGCTAGAAGAAATATGGTCTAATTCATCATCTTCAAGTGCTTAATTAAGCAAAGATTAAGGACTACTCTTGAAGTTTGAACAGCACATACATATATATAAGTTCCTACAAGTTTTTTCTCAACTCCTTTTCTAGTAGGAGGGGAAAGGGAGAAATCATCATCATTTAACTATTCCACATTTTATAAGAATTGCCCTTCATTTTTAGGGTTTTCTTCCTTTTCTTCTTCTTTTTTTTTTTTTTATTTTTTTATTTTCCTCCCAAAAATTAGAAAAACAAAAAAAAGAGTGCCAACTCCTATTAAGGTAGGAGGTGTCAAATTAAATTATTGCCCATTCACAATTTGGGTGTGCATTGTTAATTAATTGCCTAGTTTTAAGCCATAATTAAGCTCATTACTCAAAATCGTAGCTTGTTTATTTGATAAGAGAAAATGTGAATCCTTATTATTTTAGTGCAATTTCCTACATATATACATATAAAATTGTAATATTTCCTACCTGTTTCCAATTTTACGTTGTCCAATTTTTTGTTACTTCTAGCAAACTTGGATCTATATATATACAAGCCCACTTTTGAAGGAAATATTGATTTTTTTTTTTTTTTTTATTTATTTATTTTTTTTTTTATAAGAGAAGGAAAGATTGATTTTATATATTAGTTTAAGGTAAAATTTCATTAGAAAAAACTATTCAGTTATTATTTGAATACTCCATTTACTTGTTAAACTTACACTTGTGTACAACCTTTATATCCTTCCGAGTGTGGTAGGCAATAAATGTAGCAACAGGTTATTTGTATTTATTTCACTCAATATAATTTTGTGAAAATGAGTAGTGAGACATTGACATTTCCTTCTTAGCTGATTCCTCCATTACTACTATAATGCCATAACTAAATACAAATTATTTGCGACATCTCCTAGTTAGTAAGCTAATTAATCATCGTCTACTACAATGGAACAAACACTAAGCTAACTAAACTCTTTCTAAATTACTATCGGCAGTCATATCATGAAAAATATCAATCCATTATTACTCCCTCCACCCTAGAATATATGAGATGTTGGACTTTTTTCACTATTCATATAATAGCTCTGACCGTAATTTTAATATTTTACTAACGTAATAAAAACATATATTTTGTCATAAAATATTTTGTTAGATAGGTATTAATATAAAGTTTCATAATCTAATTTTAAAAGTAATTTTAATTAATATTTAACTATATAAAAATAAGATAAAATTAGTGCATTGGCATATGTAAACTAATTTGATGTTTGAAACTTAAAATTTATTTTACCACGCCTTCTCACATGAGAGTACATGCAAATGCAACATGAGTATTATCATAATCATTTAAAATGAGGGGTAAATGAGATTTAAACCCTTGACCTTTTTGTCACATTGAATCTTAATTGATTACACATCGACAAAAGACTAATTAATAACCTAAAAGATTAACCAGATGGTTGAAGCTCGAAATTGGTTTTATACTCTATCAACTCGACTCAACCCATGATCAAAAAGAGATGGGAGGAGCTAGGAGGAATCCAAGTAGTATCTAAGCATGTGGGACAATATAAATATAAATATAAACATAGAAAAGGCTAAATGGTGTAAGCAATAAATGAGAAATGAAGGTGATGTAAAATACACTGCCAAGGGTGGTTACTGGGTGGTGGGTAGTATCAATAATCTATCTAATGGAGGGTAATAAATGTACTCAACTCACTACCACTACCACTACCCTCCCTCACCCTCTCTTCTTAGCTGTTTTTCAGGACTAACTCCTCACTTTGTCTCTTGTCCATTTTACCTTCTTTTTTAAACTCTTTCTATTCAATTCTATTCAATGCTCAGCCCCCTTCTTTCTAATTATGTACCATTTCTATTGTTGTGCTTTTATTCTTCTATTATTTGTCCCACTATTTTTTACTACTATTTCTTATATACCCTCTGTTGCAAAATTTCTTTTGGAATGGAATACTTATAATGTTAACCAATCTTATTATAATTGATTGGTTTATATGTCATATCTTTATGAGATTTTGTCAATGCTTAATTCATGCATCATTAATTTCTATCAACGTACTATATTTAAATAGACAGATTATCCGATGCATCCGAGAACATCCATTATGATTTTTCTGCTGACATGTGGACAACACACACGTTAGTGTATGATGTATATATATATGCGCTCACAAGAAATTATAATACTTCGAGTAAAGTTAATTTTGATACCTTTAATTTGACTACAAAATTAAAAGTGAATTATGTCTTACTCTTTAAAGACAAATATAGTAATATAATACTTAAAATCAAATAGTGATAGAACAAGAGAAAACTTATTTAAAATTAAACATACGAATTAAAATGAAATTAATTATGATCAAGGACGACATACATAGATCATAGGGTACGGTCCATGTCTATAAATAACAAATCTAGCTATAAACAACATAGTACAACATATATTTATGTCATACCATGTGCATAAAAGATAATATATCACGGGAAGTTTCTTTATTTGATGGTGAAATAAAAAATAACCGAATGTATGTACAAAACAACTAGAAAAACAAATTGCAATTTCTTACCAAATTAGCCAGTGAGAAACATTTGCTCAAGTTTTGGTGTGTCCTTAAACTGCTTGGTTAGCCCATAGTAGTTACATGTGTATTGTATAAAAAATTATAAATGCATGCAAATTTATAATAATATTTTACTAAGTCTAAGTTTTGGGCATGTAACAAAAGTCTGGCCTATGACAATGACCAAATTGTTGTTCAAAGGGTAATCTCACGCCATTTTGAATAATTTTAATCCTCATTGCTCCTTATAGTATGACGTTTTCATGCCTCTTATGGCATGATGATGCTTTTTAAAAAGCTTTTCCAAATATATTATATGGTTTCCTGTAAATTTAATCTTGTTTGATGTCGATTTTTTAGGTGTGTGATGTTTTGATAAAGTGTTACTTTAAGTTGAATAGAAACGTTTACATAATATATACATATATCGAAATAAAGGCGACAAATTTATTTGAGCGAAAGAAGTGGACTATGCATGCACAAGGTTCATCATGAGATACATGCGTACCAAATGCGGCTTTTTTTTCTAGAAAAAATTTGAAGCAATTGGTATCAAAGATTCATTGTTATTTTTCTTATAAGACTTATAGTTAAACTAATTGATAAAAAGATTAATAATTTCAAATATATGCCAAGTCATCCTTCCTATTCTTCTTTGGTGTCGGACAATTATTTTCACTTGACGTGAATTGTGTTAAACTATTCAAATCATTAATTTACTCCGACCCCTCCGCTCCCCTTTATTTGCTCCATTGAAAGAGGGTTACATTTTTTATTTTGGTTGAAAGGAATTGATGAGAGAATAAGTGGTGGATTGATGTAATGGTTGTAAGAGTAAATGTATTGTCAGTAGTTTACTAAAACTAGAAGTAGTATGAAATTCAACGGGACAAACTAAAAAGAAAAATATGGCAAATATTAAGAGATAAAGAGAGTATATTAGTAATATTTTAGCTCAAATTAGGGCACATAAAGCGCCAAATAGATAAGAGGGGAAAACTAAGTAAAGGAAAGGGTAAAAGTGTCAATATGATGAAGTGTAATTTGAGTAATTTTTTTGTGGTACATAGCAATTCACTAAAGATATATACCGAGTCTATTTTGTACAAAGAACAATTAATTTGATAAAAAGGTACTTCATCATTCGTTAACCTTTATGAGTTACTAATTGACTACTACTCGTATTTATTATTTCGATAATGATAAAAATTAACACATATCAATAATTTTGCTGAAAATGTCGGGCACATATTTAATATTAATTTCTCTATTGACAAATACATTTGGAAAAACAAAAAAGAGGTCTATCAACCAAGTAGACGTTCAAATAAAAATTGTTATGCTAATAAAATTGATAGTAATATTTTGGGATTTGTTTGTTTTAAGAAGATTGAAAATGGAGTTGGTTATGGACTATGTCACCAAACATTGACTAGAATGACGCCAAAAGAAAAAAAAGAGGCAAGAGATGGAAAAGGATAGGAAAGATGTAATTGGGCCATAATAGTATGGATTCGATTCATACTGGGCTGTTGGCTAACTTGTGGAATTAAGAATCAGGACTACCCAACTCATACGCTAACACAATACTGAAAGCAACTCCTAACGATTGGTCCATTCCTTTTTTTTTTTTTTTTTTTTTTTTTTTTTTTTTTTTTTTTTTGTTGTAGTACTTGTTTTTGTCTGGTCAATCCACTACACTACACTTTCAACTTCCGTTTACTAAAAATTTCTGCCAAGGAAGAACACAGTGCTTGGTTTCACTATGATTTAAATTTATGGTTCATTGGTTAAGTTTATAGGAAATTACGGTTTTGCATTTATTATGTTCTTTGAAATTAGCATTGCATTCAAACATCATGTATGTATGTTTGTGTGCATTTTTTAAAAAATTATTACAGTATATATTTTTTTTTATTATGAAGAAGTCGAAATATATGTAAACTTAAACTCATTATTGTGGAAAAAATTATCTTCATATATAGACAATAATGTTACTTGTATTTCTTTTTTTACAAGAGCAAAACACAAATAATAAGCAAACTATATTGTTAACAAATTAAATAAGCAAAATGTCCCTTTGTTATTGGTAGTTTATCTCATTTTACATAACATTGAATAGATACATTAAGTAAGACTTTATATATGTACGACTTCTATCTCTCTAAATAAAAGTCTAATTACATCCACAAATCTCGTCCAATTGTTCTTTTAGGGCTAATTTTCCTTTAAAAAAAAGTCATTTTGCCCTTATATATTTCTTTATTTACTTTTAATTAATCATACTCCACTATTTTATTTTATATTCAATTCGTTCCTATAATTCAATCCAACTATCCAAACCTCAATATCTTATCAATTTACACCCGAAACACTTGAGCAAAAGGCAGTGAGATTTTTATTATTGAAAAAGGGGGAATAATTTTTTTTATTAACTTATTAGTGATTTTTATTGTTAGAAGTAATTTTAGAGGTTTTTTTTACCAAATAAAATTGATTTTAATAGAAAATTTTCAAATATTCTCTAGTAATATATACTCCCTCCGTACCAGAATAATTGACATGTTAGACTTTTTTTCACTGTTCATATATTCACTTTGACTATTAGGTTTTTATTAATCAAATTAAAATATACTTTGTCATAAAATATATTTTAAAATAGGTATTAACATAAAGTTTCATAAATTTTTTTTAAACAATTTTTACTAATATTTTATTATTTATAAATAAGATCAAACTAGTGTATCAACATGTATGTAAAGTTTGACTGTATCAGTTATTATGGCCTTATGGGACAGAGAAATTAGTCAAGACTCTGTACTATAGATTTGTTCATTTATAACGACTAATAATAAGGCTGCTATGATTTAGGAAACTTGATTAAAATTATTGATCGTCATTTTCTTTACGGATTATGATTTTTGGGGAATATTATTTGTATGATAAATAATGTTTTAGTGGTCCACTAATATATAATATTGCTTCATATATCAGTATATCACCTACATATTATGTCCCTGGGTAAATCGGTCCCCTACCATCCTATTTTATACACATTGGCCTTTAATAACTTTGAAAAATGGTATGAAAATGTGCATTGCGGTTACGTTTAGTCAGAAAATATCCATGTTTAGTTAACATGCATGGCCCCTTTAAGGGTATGTTTGAACTACGATTTTCTCCCATTATAAGAACTTATTTATTCTTAGCTGATAAACTTATCAGAGTTTATTAAATCTGAAATAAGTAAAAATAAAACAAATAGAACAGACTTTTAATCAAGTAAATTAAAAAAAAAAAAAAGTTGAGATGCAAAACACACTAAATCATACTCCATATTATTCAATAATATGTGGGTTAGTGATGTATTATGGATTATGGATTATTTTACCATATTAGTCACTAATTCTTACAACTATCACATTATTTGTTCATTATTGGTCACTTGTCAATAAAACATAACGGGGTTAGTCATTGCGCGCGCTTTGTAGTGAAATTAAAAGGATTTTTTTTTCTTTTTAATAATTTAAACACTTCATTCAATTCACTACATTTTTCTCCGATACAACAAACCTAAGCTAGTGGCCGGCCGGGAATCCTGCTCGGAGACGGAGAGCCACTAGCTATAAAATTCTTATAAACATTGTTACAAGAAATCAGCTTAAACTTAGAGCTGAAAAACATAAAATAGGAAAAGAAATAAAAGTTCACTTAATATACATATCATACAACTCTGAAGTTAGATTTGTAGCCTTTGAAGTATAGCATTGGTTAAGCCTTCTTTAGTACCAATGAATCCATTGCCTTCAGGCTGCCGCTTAACAACAACATTCTGAAGCACAAACTCATCCATATTAGATATTGTAGCGTTGGAAATTACAAGATTCAGATCTCTTAAAACATTCATCAATTTTGCTGTTGGATAGTCCAAACCCGACGATTGAGCATGGACTATCATTTCTGCTCCAAGCAGTTTCACCTCAACCTGCACTTGCACATTGGTATTCATCATTGCAGCCAACTGAGGAACTGTAACAGTAGGATTTTGATCATCAGGCTGTTGAAGATGCTGATCACAAAGTAAGAAATCGACTGCAGGATTATTTTGGCGTTCAGATTGGTGAAGATTCTGATCCTGTAAAGTGAGCAGCTGTAGGATTTCTGTTCTGCAGCACTCGTAAATTGTCCTCCAATAAACTTACTCGCGACTTAAGCTTGTTTATGTAAACGACGGCATCAGAAAGCAGAGATGCTCTGTCCATCTTTGAGACATTAGGAACTACAGCGCGTAATGTACAGAAACGCTGGTTTAGTCTCTCTCGCCTTTTCCTTTCTGCCTCAACAGGGCTGCTCTGCGGCACTGCAGTCGCAGGTGCTGTTCTTCTTTTGCTATTGCGAGAGGTAATGTTCATGTTGCCATCACCTCTAGCACCAAACATGGAATAAGTGAGGTCAATTAAGCTCCTATCCTCCTTGATCACATCCAAAGATCCGACTTCAATGACACCATTTGGACTAATTGGTAAGAAAACCAGGGTCTGAATGTTGTTCAGTCTGGCTTCCCTAGCCCTTTCGCACCTCGAGTAATTTAGCTTCCCATCCACATCAACAAGCCACAAGTGTGTCCCTGAACTCATGAGTCGCCCAATAACAGAATTGGTGTCTTCTATGTCTAGGAACTTGTGTAACGAAGCTGTGTAAAATCTTTCTGACATTACCATCTCATCCACTTCTTGAATATGTGAAACCTCCTGCTGCTGCAGATTTCCTGGTTTACTGCTGTGCATCAGATAACCATCCGAACATGCCAACACACGGCGATTGTTGTAGGCAGAGTCATTGCTGATAGATGACAATTGCCAATATATCGCGTACAACCACCCTGGCTTACTCTTCACAATAATTTGAAGGCAGTGTTGGTGTGATGTTGATGAAATCTTGGGCTGTAAATTCAGGCTTAGAGATTGAAATGGTGAAATCGCGTCTTCCATTGCCTATATTAGCTTAATGATAAAGAAATTAATGAACAACCTCTAGTAAGCTAGCTAGTAGTAATAAAAACTCGATCTTAGATCACACGAACTCCTGAAGAAATAGGACCATAATGACTTCCTGAATAATGGTAGGGAACGGGTACAGAACAGGGGGCGGCTGCGGTTTTAGCAACAGTCAAAATTGAACTAGTTTGTTTAAGTCTTCGTCAACATGATTTCAAAAAAAAAAAAAAAAAAAAAAAAAAAAAAAAAAAAAAGAAGAAAGATAGGTCTTTGTCAACATGACATCTTGTCTTAATTAAGAATATTTAATTTCCTTGTACATTCCTATTCAACAGAATTTTCATTGTTAGGAACGTGCCACTTTCTTTGTTTACGTGATGTTAAAGTTAATTTCGGTTCCATCTTTATCCGACTAATTTAATTGCTACAGCAAGAGCAGTTAGATTATTTGTGCCCACATAAGAAGCTGGGCTAAGCTAAACAACTTTTTGCGATACTTCAAATGAAGTAAATTAAGAGTCTACTAGTGTTAATTAAGGAAATTAAAAAACTCACTTAAATTCTTGTAAAGTTTATTAAGTTTAGGAGATACTAGTTTACTATAAGGCTATAAGCCTAAATCACTAGTCAAAAAAAAAAAAAGCCTAAATCAAAATTCAATTTATAACTAAATTTAGTTTAGGAAAATTTGTCCAAAAGATACTCATATGTTCACTTTAATGAGGACCTTATAAGTTCAACGTGGTGAAAAAAGTCCTTAAAAATATCTTTCGTTGTAAGGAAGAACCTTGACATCGAAATATGACTTTTTCAGTGTTGACCATCACCCACGTGGCACATGATGTTTTAAAAAGGCCCATTCGTTCTTTTTTTTTCCCCACGCGTTTTCACTTTCTCTATCTTCCTATCTCCAAATTTTCTCTCAAAATTTCTTCTCAATCTTTAAAATCATGGAAAAAAAAGGAAAAACACTTTTTAAACACCATGTGCATTTCATATAATTGTCAACGTCGGAAAAGTGAAGTCATCAACCATTTTCCGATGTGAAGGTCTTTCTTCACGACAAAAGTGATTATCTTTTTCACCACTTTGAACATATATATATAAGGTCTTTCTTCACAAACAAGTGAAAATATAAATACCATTGAGACAAATTTTCCTTTAGTTTATTGCTAAAGTTGAATGAATAAATTCTCATACATAAAATTAACGTCAAGTGTTTATATTTACGGGCTTGAATTTCAATATGTTGTATGTTGTAATATGAACTTGGGTAATCATTATCAACTAATCCTCATGATGGCTAATTTTTCCTAAATTAATCTTATCTGAAACACTAGTAGAAAAATACAATAAGGCACCCCCATAAAGGCACCGGTTCAGGCCAAACCGGTGCCCTAAACCGGCCCAAAATTGGGCGCAATTTTACACAAATAGAAAAGGCACCGGTTCAGCCCAAACCGGTGCCAAAAATAAAAAGAGCACCAGTTTGAACCGGTGCCTTTACGAACCGGTCCATTTAAATATAAAAAAATAACCGCCCTTATAACTCCCCCCTAACCCTAATTTTCTCGGCTGTCTCTCTCCTCTCCTCTCCTCTTTCTCTCTCCTCCTCCTCCTCTTTCTCTCTCCTCTCCTCCTCTTTCGCCGATCTACCTCCTTCATTCTTTATCTTTCTGGATCTCCTCCTCCAACAATTCGAAAAGAACCAACAATTCGAAGACAACAACATGCAACACTGATTTTGAGGTTTTTCAATCGATTTCTTGGTTTTTTTTTTTTACCATTTCAATCGATTTCTGGGTTTTTCGATTTCAATTTTTTTTTTATTTTCAATTTTTTCGATTTTGATTGTTTATTCCGATTTCTGGTTATTTATAATTCGAATTTAATAGTTTTTTTTTTCGATTTTGATTTTTTAATTTTGATTTCTGGATTTCTTTTTTAGATTTTGTTATTTTTTTTTCTATTTCTCGGTTTTTTTTTCGATTTCTTTTTTTATTGTGTTTTTTTCGATTTTGATTTTGTTTTTCGATTTCAATTTCGATTTCTGGGTTAATTTTCTGTTAAAATAATTGATTATTTTGGGTTAATGCATGCGGTTTTGGGGTTTTTATTTTTGTGATTTTTAGATTTTTTTCCTGGGTTTTTTTTCCCATTTCAATTCTCTTCTAATTGGGTTTTTTTTTCGATTTTCATTTTTGATTTTGGATCTCTGGGTTTATTTTATTTTCGATTTCATTTTTGTTTTTCGATCTCTGGGTTTTTTTTCGATTTTAATTTTTTTTGTTTTCTGGGTTTTTTTCGAATACTGGGTTTTTTAATTTATTTTTTGGATTTTAATTTTTTTATATTTATTTTCCGGGTTTTTTTTAATCGAATTTAATTTTATTTATTTTCAGGGTTTTTTTTTTATGATTTTCGATTTTGATTTTTATTTTATTCGATTTTTTTTCTGGGTTTTATTTTTATATTTTTATTTTTCGATTTTCTTTTTAACTGATGTTCTGGGTTTTTTTTTTTCTTTTCAACTAATTTTCTTTTTTATTTTTTCGATTTTCTGGATTTTTTTTTTAAATTTTTTCGCAGCTTAATTAAATCATTTTAATCAATTTATTTTGGTTGTTTTAATTGGTGCAAGTACTTAGATCTTATATTGAAGAATCAAGATGTAAGTATATTGATTTAGATGTTGTATGGGTTTTTTTTTTATTGTAAAGTTGTAAATTTTTATTTTGATTTATATTGTATTTTTTTTTATTCATATTTTGTAATTTTTTTATTTTGATTTATATGTTGTAATTTTTTTTATTGATCTATACTGTAAATTTTTTTTGATTATATATATATTGAACAGATTTGATTTATATGTTGTGATGTTTGATTTATATTTTGTATTCTCATTTAACTTTAGTTTATTTAATTTATAAGAAAAAAAAGGCACTTTTGGCACCGGTTAACCGGTGCTAAAAGTGGTGAATTAAAAATTTTTGGTACTTTTTGGCACCGGTTAACCGGTGCCAATTTCAATTTTTGGCACCGGTTTGAACCGGTGCCTTTTTATACCCCTTTTTGGCACCCCCTACATTGGCACCGGTTCAAACCGGTGCCTTAGGCCGGGTTTGAACCGGTGCCAAATTCATTTTTTCACGTAGTGAAATTATCAAAACTTATTTACTTTCTTGAAATAATTGAATAGGTGAACAAAATTGATAGAGAATATCCATAGAATATTCTCATCCTAGGTTTAGGATATATTTTGTATAAGATTATCTTTGATATCTATACATATCTTATGTTACCTAATATGATTAGGTTTCTCATTGTAACCCTATAAATATTGATCAATGGAAATCACTCTAATCAAGGAGTTTATATTATCTCACATGGTATAACAACTTAGGTTAGATCTTGGGATCATATACAAAAATTCTCACCCTGCCGGTGGGTTAGAAAATTAAACCCACCAGCTGGATATACACAAATTTTTTATGCTTTCGCAAACACACACATAGATTTTTTTTTTCTTTTCTCAAAGTTTTTTTTTTAAAATCTTTATGTAGCCTTGCGCTTCCCACCGATAGTAGCAACTGCGAAAGCTGCCTCCATCATTGGTGGCAATCGCATACACTACCGCCTCCCACTACTGGCAGTAACCACATCTGCCAATCTACTCCATGTGCCGCACTCTATTTCCACCTCCCCATGACCAATAATGATTCTTACATTGCCTCATTGGTTTTTTTAACACATAATCACATAGATTTTGTTTTGGTGGTGGTATATCACAATAAGGTCAACTTTTGCACATCTCTTTTGCTATCAAGTTAGCTCCTTTTATTGTTGCAGCACTTGGAATCTTTGTGGAGTATTACTTCTTGCTACCTGGTTTCTCTTTTGAGAATTGATTAATTTCAAGCGATGGGATTTAATCTTTTCTTGCGCAATTATATTTGTTTTTCTTCAACTGTGATTTCACGTAGTAGTGTAGTGTCTTCTCCCCAATGATGGTTTGATCCCTTAACTTATTATTCTCTGGATCTGCAACTTGGCCCAAGTATATGCGTGACTCTTCTCCTTCGGCCTAAAAGCGCATATCTCTACAATACGTAGGTTGTGGTTGTTGCTTCTCATTGTCATCACCCGCACACGTCTACTACTTCTCTTTTGATCATGGGTTACTATACTATCCTTACCGTTCGATGCGTGATTCAGATCCAGTATGAGCATCCGATTTTCTCCCGCTCTGACTGCGGGGGTGTGATAGAGAATATCCATAGAATATTCTCATCCTAGGTTTAGGATATATTTTGTATAAGATTATCTTTGATATCTATACATATCTTATGTTACCTAATATGATTAGGTTTCTCATTGTAACCCTATAAATATTGATCAATGGAAATCACTCTAATCAAGGAGTTTATATTATCTCACAAAAATCTTCAATCCTTTAACAATCAAGCCAATTGACATCTATCCACACTGGAACGAAAGTGTTATACTCTTTAAATCTTTGTTTAAGGGAGCGAAACTCCTTAAAACTTTTGGATTCGAATAATTTGACCCCAAAAAAAAAAAAAAAAAAAAAAAAAAACCTGATGTTAAAATAATTAAAATATACTTGATATTTAGATATTTAAGCAAAAACTCCTACTTTATTAAGAATTATAGTTGGAACGGTCGAAATGTAGATTAGTACGAGCACTGTAAGCCACCAGTAAGGTCTTGACCCTTAAACCAGGTTGTTTCGCTGTTGAGTTGATTCTATGTCAGTCTTACCCCAAGTAAAGTCTAGGCAATAATCTAATTGAACAAATATTAAAGTCAATTTCATCGCCTGATATTGTTGAACAATTTCATCACTTTGTAAACCCTACTTATTTTACCACTCTGTACTGTGGAAAAAATGCCTTGATTGAGTAACATGCTAATGCCCTTTTTGCATGTTATTATTATTGTTATAGCGGAATATTCGAATATAGGATAGCAAGTCACATACAAATAGGGAAAATTATATAAGAAGCTAAAAAGGAGAATATCGAGAATAGATTATTAATTATATTGTTTTGTGCGTGATTTTATCAAAAAATTTCAATTTAATATCATTTAAGAGAGTAAATTTAATGTTTATGTAAGGCCTAAGAGCAACTCCAATGGTAAATTAATTGTTAAACTGGTTGTCATGCCACATATGATTTCAAACTAACTCTCTTTGTAGCTATTTTGTGCCCCAATGGTTAGCTACTAGCTTGTTAATTATTATTATTATTATTTTTTTTTGAATAGTACTACCTTGCTAATTTAATAAGCTTGACTTTCTCAATTAGCCTTATAAATTTAATTATGTTAATATATCAATCTCCAAAATTTTAAAAACTTTTTTCACAAGCAAATTAGCTTACCCAAATTAATTTGCTTGGCTTAGCTAATTGTATTTTTTGTGCTTCAATGGTCAAGCTAGTAGCTAGAGACTTGGTAGGGACTTGCTTGCAATTTTCAAAAGTCTTAAAAATTTTAAGACTTTTAAAAATAACCCTATAACACTGACGAAATATATAACCCGTGATCACTGATTAGGTAATCCCTATAATACTAACGAGATAACCCTTTATAATAGCTGGTCATACGGTGCGACCTGCCACATATAAGAATTTGTCAACGAAATATTATTAATTCGGAATTGAAACTAGATAGTACTAACTACATGTATATATGTTAATCTTCTTGTGGACTGTTGTTATAGTTGATTATGCTTATATATTACTTCCTTTGTCCCTATTTAATAGTCACTTTTGGGCATACAATTTTCACGAGAATTAATAAACATGAATAATAAGTAGCAAAAGTACATTGAAAAGGTAAATTTACATTGGGTATGCAAAAAAGTAAAGAGAAAAACT